TCACGCTTCCCCAAAACACCCGAATTTGAGTGTATTACATCGACGAATTTGGCATCTCCGCGCATTAATCCAGTTAGCATTTGGCCTTCGTTGAAACAGGGTTTTGCTGGATCTAAGCCAGTAATACGTGGTAGAATTTTGCCGGTCTTGTAGCTGAAGTAGCGACCGGCAGCGCCGACAATGTGTGACCCCAGACTATGGCCAATGAGATGAATATTTTCAACCGGTACAATGTCAGTTAGCAGCACTAGGCCTTCAGCAAGATGTTCGCCAATTTCATCGGTGTTGAATGCAGACCAGATGTAAAGGGTATCGACAAAGTTCGCCGCATCGACGGCCTATACATTGTATATGACAGAGAGATAGAGAGAGATAAAATAGTTTTTAGCGTTATGTATTTTGCTCTTGATTTAGAATTTTCGAATAGACATTAAAACATTTTTGTTCTCGCTCACTCACTCATTACCTTATTTACTCACCTCACTGGCCACATAACTTACTCATTCACTCACTCACTCACTCATTCAATCACTCGGTTTTTTCATTCTCTCACGTTGCTCTCACCCCTTTCCTCACTAACTCACTGGTTCACTCACCGCATTACTTTTCATATCATAAAAGCTAGCATTTTTAAGTGGATGCTTTTTTCCAACTTCAACTTTTTTAATTTTTCCTGCTATAAAATCGTTAATAATAAATATTTTTTGATCAACTAAGACTATTTCCCCTCAGAAGTCTTCAAAAAATAATACTCTGATGCTTATTTAACTTACAATATTTACTATGTGTGTTTTAATAGCCGATAATCCTGTCTGTTATATACAAAAAATAGTTATTTTATGTTTTCATAACCACATCACGCACCAGCAGCTCAGTGCATGTGTTTATTTTTTTTTTTGTGTATTCTACTCGATTTTTTCTGCGGGTATGTGGTAATAAATTTTGAAAAATATGGTTGCCAGATATTTGAAAATTTAAAATTGTTTAAAGGCTCAAAAACAAAAATTAAGTTGCTTCATCAAAACTAGAAGCGTTTGCAATGATTTAAAAATATCTTTGTTCGGGGTTGCCACGTTTCTAAAAGATACAACAAATTTAAGCTAACTTAATACCATAACATGGTTATCAAATGGAAGGTTTATGCACTCCTAGAAAAGGCTTTTGAAATTACATACTTTAATTCACATAAATTTTTGGATGGGGTTGCCATTTATCTATAATAAAAAATTTTATAAACCATGCTACATGCGGTTGAGTAAAATATGAGTTTTTAACAGAAGGTGTTAAAATAAAGCTTTAACCCATACATATATCTGGATAGAATTGTCACATATCGAAAATATTAAAATGAGTGCGATATATAGTCGCTAGCATGTCAAACTATCGAATGTGCAAAAATGCATATTACATCATTTCACTTTTTCTTCTTCTTCTTATTTGCCGCTGTAACCGCCTAAGCGATTTTGTCCGATCAAATCATTTTACTTAATTAATAATAATTACCTCATCTTAGCTTACATATGGGTGGCAACCCTATTTAAAAACTTGTTAGTCTAACGCTTATGCGTGCACCTTTCGTGTGATACCCATACTGTGGTATCAAATAAGCTTATATTTTTTATAATCATTGTTTTATTTTTTAGATAGGTGGTAACCCCGTCCAAAAATATTTTTAAACATCCTCAAATGCCTTTAGTTTTGATGAAGAAACTGAATTATTTTATTAACCTTTAAATAATTTAAATAGCACTTATCCAAATGACTAAGCGATATTTCCTGACGATACAAGAAGCGAGGAAGACCTATAACCAAATAGAAGTTTACTACAATAGATCGTCCTTGATTGCGGTGACTAAGTGTCCTGCTTCTTTTCTGAATCTAACCCCTCCAAATCCACGTGCTAGCACCAAATAAATAGAGTCCATTTATGTACACACATATATGTATACAGATATTTTAGATGCCTCATTTTTGGTATCATTTATATTATGGCTCTTTTGCACGTACCAGATTGCAATTTCAATCATCACACTTGAAGCTACTACTTACTCAAGAGATTCGGCCACTTAAATTTAAATATCTAGCAAAATTTAGATTCAAACTGTGTCTCCGCACTTTATTCCACAAAATTCAGACATTTTAGTAATTCTTATGTTTTAATGCGTTTTTCTATGTGTTCACATTTTTACTTACTCACCACAAAATTCACATCACCACGACAATTGTAAGCGTTGCCAATCGTATCGATTGCACTATTATTTTCGATTGTTGTCGTCCAGCCGGTAGCCAGTATGACAACTTTCTTCTTCGGATCAAAATGTGGACTATGCCAAATTTCATTAGCTTTTAGTAATG